ATGATTCTAGGGTTGGATTAATGGAAGCCGAAGGGAGATGGGTTTTTGTTGGATAAGGGTTAAAATGGTAATTTACTATTATTCAGAGAACAATTACCAAACAACATTATTTCATTCAGTACTTAATCATTCTGACCCTYTTAACCATTTTGACCTCTTAACTATTCTGCACTAAACCATTCAGCAACTGCCAAACAGCCCCTTAGTGAAAATAAATAATTTTCTTATAGAAAAGTAAACATCTCATCTAATATTTTTGTTGCACTTTCAGGAGGAATTGTTGGATATTTTCTTTTACAAATTTATGGTATTTCTTTTTAGAAAATGTTAACCACATTTAATTGTTTTATAACACAAAAAAGAAAAAGAAAAAAAAGCAGATACTATAACAAAAACGTACACGATTGCATATCGAAACTAACAGATAACTCTCGTAAAACGAATCTACATTTCTCAAAACGTATCATACGTACCATTGAATTGTCGAAAGGATCACAGATCCAAACAAAAAATATGACCTGCTTCAACTGAAAACTTCATAGAATTTCTCGATAACGAGTAGACCCGAATCAATGGACTCCAAAGGATCCTTCCGTAATCTGTGTCTCAAGCAATTCGGGATCACAACCGCAATATCTTCAGATGTCACTTGATCTCTCCCCTTCAAAGCAGCCAAAGCTTTGGCAGCACGGTTCGTCACAATATCACCTCTTAATCCATCGACGTTCAATTCGGCACAAACTTTCGAGACCTTAACACGAAGTTCATGGTCCATTTGCACAGCCGAAAGACAACTCCTAGCTGCGGATATCTGTTCTTGAAGTTTTTCTTGATCTGCTTTATAAGTTTCACGAAACTCTTTCGGATTTTGATCAAAACGGGATCTTTCCTCCACAATTTTGACCCTAAGTTCAGCATCTCGTACAGTACCCACTTGGGCATGCATCCCAAATCTATCGAGCAATTGTGGCCTGAGTTCACCTTCTTCAGGGTTTCCTGATCCTATGAGGATGAAACGAGCTGGGTGCGATATAGAAATACCTTCTCTTTCCACTGTGTTCCATCCGGATGCGGCTGAATCAAGAAGAACATCGACTAAATGGTCGTCTAAAAGATTCACTTCATCAACATACAAAATCCCTCTATTGGCTTTAGCAAGAAGACCAGGTTCAAAAGCTTTGACACCCTCTGTAAGAGCTTTCTCGATATCGATTGTTCCACAGACACGGTCCTCTGTGGCACCTAATGGGAGGTCAACCATGTTGATTTTGGTTCTTATGGTTGGAAGTTGTTCACCTTTGATCAACTTCTCTCTTACTTCCATCCCCATTGATTCTGGATCCTCGGGGTCTGAGTTGAAAGGGTCAGCTGCAACGACTGTGATCTCTGGAAGCAAATCCACGAGTGAACGAACAGTTGTGGATTTACCGGTTCCTCTGTCGCCCATGATCATGACGCCACCAATTTTTGGATCGATGACATTCAACAGAAGGCATAGTTTCATCTCATCTTGCCCGACTATTGCAGCAAATGGATACACCGGTCTCTGGTTTTCCTTTGACAGCTTCTTAGCCTAGCATTCATCAGCATACTGTCAGCAAAACAACCTCAAGAGTACTATCCTTAAAAGGTTCGGGCCATTAGCTTAATACCAAAATAAGACTTCTAACAGAAAAAAGATCTGTTCTGAAATCAGAAGAACACATCGCCATTCCAATTTCAAATAACATAGAATGGTCTAGTAAATGTTTCAGTTACAGTTAACAACACAGAAAACTCATTTTGTATAATGACCATATTGAATATGTTAAAAAAATGTACCTGTTCTTGGGCAGGGCTGATTTCAGTGGCAACATTTGAGATTGAAAGATGAGACCTTCCCTTCTTCACTGGAACTCCAATGCCTCCGTAAAACCTCCTACCTTGACCATGCCCTACAATACCATCAAAGCTAAAGTATTAGGTTTTCATTCATTCACAACATTTTTATACATTTTTCACTCGAGGGTCTTATCTTTCAGTTCTTCTTGAATCAAATAAACTAGAGGCATAATTGCAGTTTCATTTCTCCTTATACACTCGATGGAACCCACAATCGTCACAATCCACTCGTAATCTAAGAACTAAATGTAGAAAAATAAGTACCCACAATTTCCAGGAATAAAGTCTCGTGTATCCTTAATTTTGATACATCTCTGAAAGTCAACTCTAAATATGGGATGGTGTGTATTGTAATAATGGATTCATAACGATCCAACTTCCGAGGTCACTCAATTTCAGGCCCATCTCTTGATTCCTTGTAGATCTCTAAATTTTACAATTCAAATTCTCCAACCGATGGAAAATTTGTCATAAATAATCTCCTCTTTCATGAAAAGTCTTTCAAATTTTGGAAAAAATGACATCAAAGTTTGGAGACCTAAGCTTTCTGGAACCACCTCATAAGCCAACCTATCCTTAGCATGAAGAATACCTCCAAAATCACAAACCCGTCTCTCAATTTCATAGAAACCGTCCGGATTCTAAGCATTCAGCAAAAATGAACTAACATTACCTAACCAAACAAGTACACCTACAGAAACTGGAATCAGCATAATAGGAGTAAAAATATATGGGGCAACAACTCCACCCAATCCTAGAATCAAGCGATGGAATCTTGTACTGATAGCATAACATTAAGTATTTAAGCTATTCCCCTCATTTCCATGATTTTGTTCAGCATCTTCCAACAGGATTGACTATAAAATAGGAGAATCATCAAAAGTAAACATCAATCATCTTGTAAAGCTAGCATACTACATAAGAACCAGATGATAATATTTGAGCAAAATTCCTCTTTGAAAACTCAAATGATTCCACAATGTTAACTCAAATGTTCTCCAGAAATTTTCCATTAAGACCAATGCATTCAATGGGGATACAAAAGTTCGAAATCATTTTTATACAATTCAGTGCTGCATAGACGGTTTTGACTAATCTGTGCAACTGGAGCCATAAAAAAGTACCAACAATATTCAAATTTCGTTGACACCACCTTCCTTTCTATATGTTTTTCTATAATTCATAAGCAAAGGCTGCAAAGCCTCCATTTCACCAATAAAACCTCAAAAGCCCATAAAAACATCTCCTAATATCATGGAAACCGAACTTCAGAAACAACTTAGTAAAAAGGAATAGAACCATCATGACAATAGGATGCCAAAAAGGAATACTGCACCTACAGCTTCTCTTCGCAACCCACATTTAAATCGAATACGACATTGAATTGAACAAAATACAAAAGGTAAACACAAAAACCTGGATTAAAAGATAGAGCACGAATTGACGCCTTTGAAGAAGAAGAAAAAGAAATGGATCTTGAGCTGAGTAGTGCCGCTGCAGAAGAAGAAGTTCCGAGTAATCCAGACATGGTTATTTTAGGAATTCGTTAAGGTTTTAGTTTAGGAATGGCATTGATTGATCACTGTGTTTGTCTACTGGTTTTTAGGGTTTGATGTGGATAAGAGGATAGATTTCCTTCCATTGGCTTGGCTTTAACTTCCTACCCTTTTCGATTTTGGCTTCGTGGCTCCATAGAGTGCCGTAAATCGTAATCGTGTGGATCGCACATATGGGAAGGTTTCCGTTTCTAGCCGTTGGATGATTGAAAAACAAAATAGCAAATAAACCAACCAATAAAAATTGGCACATGTTTTTGCTTTAGAAAAAAAAAATGTAACACCCTATTTTTTTTTTTCTTTTTTGAGAATGTCACGTAACCTGAAACCATTTCTTGAATTCCAAAAGACGGTTAAAACATCACCGTTCAATTCGTTTACAGCGGAAGTCTTTGAATCACCCAAAAGTAACTTAAGTTCTAATCCGCTTCATACCAGGTTAAGTTACAATAGATTAGTACAATGCTGCTAGACAAAAACTAAAAATAAGATAATAACTAGTAACTCTCTACGCGAGTCCCTTGCCCTTATCCAACCTCGAACTTCCTGGCCCTGAGATGCATACTATAGTCAACTTATAAAGCTCAGTGAGTTCATGGTTTGCGTGAATAAAGATCATTTCACATCATACATATCAGCTTGTAAACTTGGTACCAAATAGTATGCATTTTCTGAAAAACATGCAATACTGAAGGAAATATATCTGTAAGACACTGAACATATGAGATCTCGTATAACGTTTAGTCGGGTATGGGTCATTTAGTCACAAACACGTCCTGGGTTGATATTTCAATCTTAACTGATCACCCACTTGTCCGGGTAGTGTTTTATACTGGTCGTGACTTTCTGGTCAAATGCCCACCCTTAAATCATCAAATTTTTAATATGGAATAGCATGCTAGAGTTACTTGAAAACTGATTAAACACATAGCATGTAACCATTCATAAAATAGCATACATGTAAAATATATCATAACATGCATGTAAACTGAAACATCATGCATACGTACACATCATCAGAAWTTCATATCATGTAAAAATAATTTGTACTTAGGTATGCATCCCAGTGAAATCTTATGAAGACTCACCTGACAACGTAGATTGCTTAACTAACGTCGCTGACTGGCAACCTACAAGTCACAATAGCAAATAGCATATAATGATTAATTCCTCCCAAAGGCTAACATAAAGGTCAACTTACGTCAACTACGTCGACTAGGGTCAACTTTGGTCAACTATGCTTAAATGCTCCTCACATCAATTAAAATCATAGAAACCGCGAGTTCCGACATAAGGTGTATCGTCTAGCTATATCTCTTAAAATGACTAAGTCTGGAAAAAGGCCAGAGCCTCTGGTTGCATTGACAGAGCCTCTGGACTCTTAAGTCCTTTAGGGCCAGAGCCTCTGTGGATGTATCGACAGAGCCCCTCTGGTTGTACCCATACTTAGAGAAAAATTCAACAAGGACCAGAGCCTCTCTGGTCTCTCTTCCAGAGCTACTGGCTTCGCGACCAGAGCCTCTGGTTGAACTATCCAGACTTAAATTATATTTCAACATTCCAGACCAGAGCCCCTCTGGTCTTTCTACCAGAGCTTCTGGCCTCACGACCAGAGCTTCTGGTTGTACTAACCAGCACCTCTGACTTAGTGTAAAAATAGGCATTCATCTTATGAAGCAAAACTAGAAACATACTGCTTCGGTCCATCGGGCCTCTGGTTCCAAACCACACTTGGAATATATTTCAACATAGGACCAGAGCCCCTCTGGTCTTTCTTCCAGAGCCTCTGGCTTTGCTACCAGAGCCTCTGGTTGAACCAACCAACCTTAGTATAATTAACACAGGACCAGAGCCCCTCTGGTCTCTCTTCCAGAGCCTCTGGCTTGGCGACCAGAGCCTCTGGGTCTTAACTATAAGAAGTATTCCAACATCAAGGGCCAGAGCCCCTCTGTGGTTTCTTCCAGAGCTTCTATCTAGCACAACTTGATACAGAGCTCTCATGTAGAGCTTCTGTATAACGTAACTTGATACAAAGCTCTCATGCAGAGCCTCTGGCTAACATAACTTGATACAAAGCTCTCATGTAGAGCTTCTATGTAATATAACTTGATACAGAGCTCTCATGCAGAGCTTCTGTATAACATCCATTAAGGTGGTTTTTAAACAGAACGCGATACATCGTGTTTACCAAATGAAATCTAAACTTTGAAATTGAATCCTAAAACACGAAGTTGGGAACGTAAGCCTTCTAGAGTTCTATACAGGGTCAAGGGCACAGCCAAACGTTGCAACAACATAAATTTTGGTTGAGTATTTACCTCTAAATGACAGGAAAGCAGGAGGTTCTTGCCTGGTCTTGAACTCCGGTTTTTCTCTCTCAAGCTCGACGATTTCCTCCTTCCTTTAAAAGAATAGCAACCCTAAACTAGTGCCCATAATTTATACTCAAACGCTTTGGCCTATTAGTTGACCAAATCGGCCGAATCCCGAGTTTTAGGCTGTGAAGCTGCCTTCTCCACAGTCTGCATACAGACAGGTCACAGTTTCCCCATATGAACCAGGCACCGCCTGTTCCTCTTCTGCCTCTCCCAACGTTGACAGCAGGCCCCTCTGTGTTGCAGGTCTGTTGCCTATTTACAAAACAGGTCCTTCTGGTTTGGACCTGCTTACACACGACCCAGCCCCTTAACTACCGCGAATTGACAACTTTCACCCATGTCTTGACTTCTTCCTTCACTTTTGGTCCGACTTTTAAACTTATTTCAACCTTCTATTTTTATTTAATATACATATATATATATACTAGTTGTATACCCGCGCAATGCGGCGGGATACAAAAAGTTCATTAAGATTTATTTATTTCAAAATATCAATTTTTTGCTTACGATGTTATAAAGCCACAAACAAACAATGGTTCTCGTAATTTTTTTTCTTACATTTGTATGTAAGWTAGATTCAAATATCTACCRATCCAAAACATTAATTCTTATATTTTTTTCAATCATCCGTAAAATACAAATCGTTTATATGAATTGTGTACAAATACAAACCCATTTGTTAGTGCAATTATGGGTGCAATGAATAAGATTATGAGCGACCATACAGTCTCGTTGAACGACAAATCTTCTCGCTAATACTTTTTTGGGTTATTCCTACTCCCAAGTCAAATTTGTTTCCAAAATGATTAAAAAGTATACAGAAAAATGCATCCATCCAAAATATTATTCAAAGATATAATGTTATCATGCCACAAACAATTTAAATAATGTCGATGAAAGAAACAATTACTTGCACATGATTCTAAAAAACTAAATACAAGGATAATTAAACAGGATACGGTATAACTAATCAAAGTTCTCAASAGAGTGCCATCATCATCTTCCTTATACATCACTTAAGAAAGAAGGATAAGTGAGTCATTCCATTTTTCTTGACCAAAAAACATAAGAAATATGAACATAGAAGCAGATCCAACCAAACAATTTTTTACGAAAATACAGGAGATCAATGAACTTAAAAATGAGACAGGCAAAACTACGATCTTGAACTCGCATATTTCTTGTATATCCATGTTTTTTTTGTGATTTAAAGGCCGTTTACCTAAAAGCTTTCCCGGTAAGCGCTTACCGTTAGGAGTCAATACTATAATTTATTTTACCGGGTAAAATTATAGGTCTATCAAAACGTATTTATGCAACAATTTACCTGATAAACGCTTACCCGGATAAAAGTCGTCACCCTTACTTACCATCGCTTACTAAGAGAGCTTACTAATCATTGTTTATAAAATACATAGTGCAAGAGACTTRTGCTTATCAGGAAGTTTTAAATAACTCCAAAGAAGAGTTTCATGGTCACCAAGAGACTTATGCTTATAAAATACATAGTGCAGAACTGCAGATGATATAAAAAGTTATCACTTACATGCTTCTTCAAAAGCACTTACATGCTTCTTCAAAAGCACAGGCAGTACACGAAAGTTCTCTCGTTGGCCTACATTAAATACCTTTTTTTCTTTCTTAACCATAAAGTTCTCTCTTTTGGCCTACATTAAATACCTTTTTTTTTCTTTCTTAACCATAAAGTTCTCTCTTTTGGCCTACATTAAATACCTTTTTTTTCTTTCTTAACCATAAAGTTCTCTCTTTTTACCACTCAGCATAACAACCACGAGACTTAAGGTGCCATATCTACAGAGCATTTCTGTTTTGTTGCTCATAATGTTTCTTGTGCTCATTTATTCCCCCATCATTTTTCCTTCATCTCTGTTGTCGGAAGTTAACTGTTTTCCCATAAGGTGGTTGTTGCAGCATCATGAAGAAGTGCTCATAAGAAAAACCTGACCTGGGACCTTGTTGAACGTAAGACGAATGTAAATCTTACTCCATAAAACTAAATACCAATGACACCTCATCTTCGATCCTATGCCTTGATATCAAGGGACATTTTGCTGGGAATGATGGTGGTTGTGGACTTGTGGTTGAARGGAGATACCACAAAAATAAGTTAGAAAAAGATAGGCAAGCCAAACTTTTGCTATTATACTAATACTTCAACACCCAAAGCTTTTAAGTAATATGACATTACAAGCTCCCTTGCTTAAACCTGAGTCATATCCAAATCATATAAAACCATGGAAGAAAATGATTAATAGCCTATTATCAAAGGCTTAAAAASGGCTGGTAATTCATAATTTAAACACAACATTACAAAATCCCTCAATTAGATTCCCGAAGCCTTATTAGATTCCTGATGATGATGATGAAGACCCCATGAACCATCATTAAGCTGATTATCTATCACCCAGTTCACACATTTAGGGAAACAAGGGGAGTTGGGGGAGTTTGGAGAAGGGACCATGGCTACCCAGGCTGTGTCATATGAAGATATAGAAAGTTCCACATTGCTCAACAGTTTCTTGATTCRTTCTTTGGTCATATCAAGTGTCTGCATACATATAGTTTAAAGGTAAAATAAATTAATTTGAAGTGCATTAATGAACACAGAAAAACGAATGCAGCCAGTCATACCAGAACAGTAGGATTAGCTTGTCCAGCATGCGAAGAARCTGCTCAAACAGAAACTCTGAATTAAGCCAGGAAATGGAGGAGTGCCAGAAAACGTGAATCTCAAATATAATAATATGCATCATTGGATTGTGAAGAACTAAGACACTGGACATGCAATGAAATATTCTGCACTACGAAAAATAATATGTATCTTCTTGTGGGTATGTTGWGATTTTGCATAACCAAAAACAAGGAAGTTGGAAAATCATGTATAGAAAGGGTCTTTCTCTCTATTATATGCAACAAGTCAAAGTGCTTGTTCTGAAAATCAGTCTAAGAAGGCACCTATGTGGAGGCAGATGTCAACCATCTCGACCACGGTATAATTAAACTTCTGAGAAAATTAAATAAAAAGATYGGCAATTTAAGCAAATTAAGCATGATTTGTGGAGTTAAGCAGAGAAACCAGATTTCAAAATGTCAAATTAGAGGAAAGCCAGTTTTAGTGCTTCTGTGATTTGCATTCCACTGCAGAAAGAAAATAGCAAGTCCATTTTAAGAAAACTAAAAGTTGGATTAACAAACACATCGCTCGTTGTTTTTGTCACAGTTAAACATGCAAGCTCAATAGTTAAGACAAGTTTCCCATCACCCCAAATGCTCTCAAACAYAGATTACTTCACATCACTACATCAGATTGCATGTTCATGCTATGTATGGCTAGAATGCATGAGACCTTCAGTGGCTAGAATTAAAAYAACTGGAGGAGAAAGAGACTTACGAAGAGCCATCCAAACTRGAAATCATATCACCTGACTCGTTAGTTGAATGTTTTTCCTTGCATTATTTGAGCAAAATAATCAGGCACTAACAGTCATCAACTCAAGAAAGTAATACTACAGGTATGCAGAYAAAGGCAAAAACAACAATGGCATGTGTAAGTGAAAAAAGATTAATGGATTATGTACCTTCAGAAGAGGAGTCTGGGAGATACTTTGCAAGCCGATATTTCTGTAAAAATATCAGGAATATAGAGCTCAACAATTGACTTCTTCTTATTCATACTTACTTATCGGGTAAGACTATACATTCTTAACATCAATAATAAAACGTTGTTCAGTCAGATYTGCAAAATGTTATATCCTCCTCCAGAAACTGCCATGCAACTGAAATCCAATTTAAACAGATGAAGAAAAAGAAAGCCTTACTTAGAAAATACATTTATACAAATTATAAGAATTGTAGTCTGAAAAGTATAAAGTACTGTATAATCCAAGCCCACTTAACATCACAGAACATACAAGCAGATARTATTCTTGTTCTAAAACAGGCATTCAGTTAATGTGCTGCAATGGTGTAAACAGAACATACAGAGGGTGTAAAACCATCTACAAACTTAATGGACCAAACCARCATACAGAGGGTGTAAAACCAAACCATCACAGGCAGCCACTTAACTGTTGAAACAAAAATTGCAACTTATCTTACCATTTTCCAATTTATCCATCAAGCAAGATTCAAGTTACCTACACTACATAACCATCTACAAACTTAATGGACCAAACCAACAGTGGACAGATTCTTTCTTTTTTGTAAACAGATCAAGAACTCTTTTTTAATGAAGAAAYAGATGTGTGTGTGTGTGTATAAGATGAAATCGGAACATAAATGAATTCCAAAGCTTCTCTTCACCCACAAAAATCAAAAGGAAACAGACCCACAAAAACTTACCCGTGAAATTCAACACTATCACTTCTCCTAATCACCTCTCCTGTCAACTTCTGTCTCTTACCCAYCAACCTTTTTTTCTTTCTGATTTCATCTCAATACAAAAAGTTCAACATCATCACAAGTACTACAAATATGGATGATCACTTCAASGATATAATTGCTTTTAGTTTGTATAATTGCTAACCACATACAACATTATAAAGAACATTGGATGGTAGGCTAAATACGTGTACCAGCATAGAGAATGTTTTATAAATAGAAAGCATTTGATAGGAAACTAATACCCTGTTGTTCACAAAGTGGAACCCTTTGCTGCTTCAAGTCTGCAACCACCCTTTGCTGCTTCAAGTCTGCAACCACTGCCCAGTTAAGCCACTACGAAAGTCGATCATCAAAACAGTACACAAAATCATCCATCTGTACCATGTGGCTAAACCCTAAATTAAACCCTAAAACCCAAAGCAAGATGTAAAATAATCAAGAATGAAATCGTACCAGGGGAGAAGAACGAAGAGATGCAGAGACAGAGCGAGAGCGAGAGCGCGAGAGCGAGAGCGCGAGCGCGAGATGCAGGGTGATTGAGGAGAGCACGGGAGAGAAATGGATGAAGATAGATGCAGTAATATATATTGAATTTCAAAATTTTGAAATTTTTGAAATTTTGAAATTTTTGAAATTTTGAAATTTTTGAAATTTTAAAATTTTTGAAATTTGAATCAAATAGTTGTACATTGTGCTTTATGACTTGTCTTTAAGAGTTTTTTGAAAATCATGCATAAAATGGCAGTACTTTATGCTTAAAGGGTTGTAATTAAGATAATGGCTTAAATGGTTATATATGTAGTATATATATATATATATATATATATATATATTCTTAAAATAAAATAATAATAAAGATAAATTATTTATTCCACAAATTTTTGGGTTTTACACAAAAAACTATGCATTGAAATGCAAACAGTTGCATAATTCATTAAGCTAGAATCTTCTTGGAATTGGAAATGTTCACTCAGATTTAGAAGCAATTGGATGCGTGTATTACCATTTGGAGTAAATCATAAAATGCGTCCATAACATATCATGCATTAAGGTTCCTCAAGCAAATAAGTATAAGGATGTTAATTATAATTTCATTTTTATAATTTACTTGCGGTTTAATTAGGCTTATTGGTGTATTTGGTTATTCGCACAGCTTATTTGTGTTGTTTACTTACGGCTTATTCGCACAGAACATGACTCAATTGTACAGATAAAAATGGTGTGTTGTCCCCATTCAGCCACAAAAATGACACTTATACCTCTTATTTAAAGCATCGCCTTCTTTCCAAATGAGACACCCATCGTCAACCTCTTTATGATTTTTTGTTTTGATGTTCAAATAATTAATATTGGGGGGTATAATCGGTCATTTATGTTATTCAGATTGTTGGTTCAGATAAAAAAACAACACTCATTTATCTAGACAGACAAATTTATCCATACATTAATAAAAAAATTGGTAAACAGCCCATAACTCTACTATACGCTATTTAGTTATTTTACATTTTCATTCTATTTTTTAAATTATATTGTTAATGTATTGTTTATGTTATATGTATTATTATATATGCACCAAAATACCATCGCACATACACAACCTTCGCCTGTCGACTACCCTACACAACCTTCTCCAATGGGCAACTTCTAGTCATCTTTTCTGCCTCCACCCTCCCCCCTCCCCCACCACATCACCATTTCCTATAGATGCGAAAAATGCCATCAAGCAACGGCATGTCCAAATCCACAAAACCAAGTAAAAGAACAAGAGCCCAATCGAGATTTCATCAAGTTTGGAGAATGGAACGAAACCATATGAGAATAGAACGAAAACATGTCGAGAATGAAACAAAACTAGATCGAGAATGAGACGAAACCAGACCCAGATCAAGAATTAGACAAAACCAACTCTAAATCAAGAATGGGAAGAACACATATCCAAATTTATGGTGGTTTGGATCAAGATTTCACCAAGTTTCGAACAAACAGGAAAGGGGATGAGGTTTTCGAATAGTGAGGTGCATCAACGACAAACTCAATAAGATGGAACTTTTAGTTGGAGACTGGTATTTAAGCATTCAATGAAAACTAAACCATGACAACCAGTCTATGGAACCCATGCAAATAAGCATTTAACGAAAACCCAACCATGACAACAGTCTATGGAACCATGACAACCATTGATGCACCTCACTGTAAGTTTGAACTTTAATGCATTAGATTCATAAGCATATGAGTTAGTTGTATTAATATTTGAGAAGTTTTGCATCCTCATTTTGAAACCAAATGCCCTGGGGTATCATGGTAATTGGTGTTGCGGAAAGGAACCCGTGCGGGTTGGATTCCGAAACTATGCGTTTTACGGAGAGGAACTCATGTAGGTTGGACTCCAGGACCCTTGGTATTACGGTGATGAACTCATTTGGAGTAAAACATCGGGACCCATGTGTAGAGGTTACGACCTAGTGAAGCTAACACTAAACCATCAGGGTATTTTGGGGATGATCTTCTGTGGAGTCGGACCCTAGGACCATTAGTTTGTGGTGTGGCTCTAGGGTGTATAGGTATGGATAGGGTCAAGGTATTACGGAGATGAACTCGTATGGGTCGGGCTCCGTGACCTTAGGTATTATAGTGGAAACTTGAGAGGGGTTAGACATCGGGACCATGATTTAAGGTACTAATAAGGTCGAATCATGGCTTACTTTATGTCACACTATAATAGACGGAATCGGGTCTCTCCTGTTACTGAAAGGTGTTTCTTGGGTATTTAGTCTATTCGTGTTTTCGGTGTTTTTGGGGGTATGTGGTAATATCGTATTTCAAACGTTTTGTAGGTTAAATCTTATTCACTTGTCTTCAAAGATAAATTTAAATGGTTGTTTGGTTCTAAAGCGATATTTCGTGATCGAATCTCACATTTGAAACGATGGATTTTGTGAATATATTCCTTTGACTTTAAACGCTATTTTAGTAAAAGGATTGTTGGGAAAAGAAGGGAAACTCTTCGGGTTCTACTATTTTTATATCTATGAGATAAATTGTTTTAATTCATTAGACGTTAAGCCTAATACCTTTTCTTATCGACATGTATATTAGGTCATAGAAGGATCTAAGTTATGTTGGAGCTTGTAGAAGTTCTGGTAGGATGGCTTAGAAGCATCATCCGAGTTTAAAGATAGCAGATTTGGTGGTATTAGTAACACCTGACTTATTTTGATTCTCTTTGGGAATTAGATAGTTTGTTTAGACTCTGATACGTTTCTTTAACTCCTTTTGGGTAAACATTATATAATTTTATGTTAAAGTTACCTTGTATTAAAAGAGTTTTAAAAGTTTTAAATTTTCTGTTATTTGCTAATTTTAGGGGTGTTACAAGTTGTATCAGAGCTCTGGTTTAATTGAATTAGGAATGAATTTAAGATGTTTAGACTTAAGCTGAAACTTTAAATAATGATTGGTGAGAAGTGGATAGAACACTTAAGATAGGAGAGCTTCAGAGACAGAGATGCACAAATTATAATTTGTAACGATGGTGATGAGGATTCTTATGTATAATATTTTCAAAATTTCACTTAGCTAATGTTATTTTGAGTATATTGTTATGTAGGCGTGCTTAACTTTACTATTATTGCAATGATTAATGAATGTATTGGTACGTTTCAAATGTTAGTTTTGTGTCGATTTAATCTCATACTTTCATTCTCTTGTATAGCAAGTATAAAAAAGGTGAGGAGGGTGTGTGAATTTATTTGTTGCATTTGTCGTATATAAATATTATATACTTAAAAAAATGGTTGATTCACGGAATAGCCCGCCGACCATTGATGAAAGTCAAGATGAAAGTGTGACGGCTCTGGAACAGCCAAGAACAACTGGCAATACACAACTCCCTCCAATCCCTCAAATGTTAAACGGTAGAGTTGACCTCGTGTCGAGAAGAAATTTGACCTATAATGATCAGATCATCCCAGAGTCGGACCCTCATTCACTGATGATGGCGAGTATCATGCAGATGGTGAAGTCGACCATGGAGAAGTAAAATGAAGCCTTTATGAAAATGTTATAAGACAGAGATGCTAGTAACCAGAGCCATGGATCGGTGGCTTAGAATGTCGTTGGCGGTTCTGGAGGCGACGGTAATGATAATGGTAGCGATAGACGAGTGATGTAGCTATAAGTCGAGGAGAGAGATGTTGCTCATACAAAACCTTTCAATGTAGCAAACTGCCAGAGTTTTCAGGAGCTGACGATCCAGTTACATGTATGAACTTGATAAAAGAGACCGAGCAAGCGTTTCACTCCAGCGAGTGTATAGAGGAACAAAAAATGAAGTTTGGCTCCTAGATGTTGAGGGGTTAGGCCCTTAGTTGGTGGAATATCACAAAGTCAATGCTGAGAACTGCATTCATCCCAGTGTTGACCTGGGATGTGTTCAAGAAGAAGGTAATGGAGGAATATTGTAAGGAAAGATAAATCAACCAGATAGAAGACAAATTTTGGGCTCTCAAGAAAGAGAGCATGGTTGTGAGGGAATACTCCCTATTTTTCTTGGAGAAGCTATGTTTGGTGGGGCACATGGTCCTAAGTGAGAAGGAGAAGGTTAAGGCCTATCTGAAAGGTTTACTGACAAACGTGATGGTGATGGTCCATATCTCTAAGGCCTCCACCTTCCCAGTATCAATTGAGGAGACACAACTCATGCAGGACGTCTATACTTAGAAGAAGAGGATATGTCCGTGATTGGAAAGAAGAGAAGATAGGAAGGCAATTTTAGATCCTTCGAAGAGCTTGTAAGTGCTTCAAAGGAGCGAATGATCGGGTCTAGTAGAGAAACAAAATGGTATTTTGCATGTTGAAATAATCACCATCAAGCATGCATCTCTAAGCTTCTAGAGTGTTTTAGGTGCGTAAAATTTGGCCACGCAATTTGTGATTACACCGTTAAAGGATGTCATGTTCTGAGTGCGGAGGTCCAGGTCACATCAGAAAAAATTGTCCAAGGACCAAGAAAGGTCATTGAATGCGGTCGTCCGAGGCTCGTGTGCACCTGCGGATGTGATAGCAAGCAAGTTCTATCAGGCTCTTATGCATCATCTATCAGTTGCTAAAGATATGAATGTTTGTTCATGTTAGGTTTTCTTTTTGTAAAATTTGGTTTATTTGTCGAAGAAACACTTTGTTTAGACATTGTGCTTATATTGGCAACTTGTGGCTATTTTGGATCTTAAGAAGTATAAGTATAAACTCTAAGAACTGTAAGAAAATAATCTTGTTTTGAAACATGGCTTAAGTTTTGTATATGTTAATGTGGAGGTGATTTAAGTGTTAAGAAGGGCTGAAAGATTGTAGACCTAATCTAAGAATGTGTTACACCATTTATGTCTTTGAGAAATAACGGTTAGGTGTGAAACGTCTTTCTATCCCTTTGGTTCTTATGTATGTCGGGTCACTAAGGTGAGCTGCTATTGATTCAATTCATAGCTTGGTTTAGCCAATTAA